CACATTAAAGCTTTTAAATGATCTTGGTCTAATTTTTTTACATCACAAAACCTGGCAGTTGAACAGCGCAAGGCAGCTTTGTTGACATAAAATAGTTCATATACAAGATAACTCAATGTGGTTCACAAAATTAATAGGACAGCATTTATAAACAAGAGTTTCAAAGATTTCAAACAACAAATAAAAAGTAGCTTACTAAAATTATACACGAAAAAAGTTGACTTCACTTCCTATGGTAACTTATTCCATTTGTGTGCAGCATAACAGCTAAATGCTGCTTCACCATGTTTGCTTTGAACTCTGGGCCCCACTAATTGGCCGTGTTTGTTGACCCCTGAGCCTTACTGGGTTTACATTCAATTAGCATTTTGAATGTATTCAGGTCCTAAACCATTCTTTTTTTTTTTAGACCATTGGTGTGTAGATTTTTTATTTTAATCCATTTTGCAGTATGGCCTGTCTTCATTTCATCATGTTAGTTTCGCCATGCTTTTTCTGGGTTGGCAAATCATATCATTTGCTACCCTTGTGTATTCCACCACATAATTTCTGAGATGAGTCTGAAGGTTTTGTTGCCCAGTTTTCTGTTCAGTCAAACTGGATCCTTTTAAGTCTTGTCTTAGGTGTGGGTTTTGCATATGCATCATTGCTGCTTCCTTTCTTTTTGGACATTGTCCGCCACCTTTGTTCCTGTGCATGCATGTGGTTCCGCTGGGTCCTCCACACGCCTCATTCTGTGTAAACAGCAACTCCTACTCTCTGTCGTGCGAGGTAAAAGTTTTTCCTGGTTTTCCTTTCGGAAACAAAAAGCAAAAAACTGATCAAGGTTCCAGGAACATAACACAAGTCAGATAGATTCACGCCCGAGTTTTGAGATCACTTTTTGCAAACCTAGTCTAAATCATGCAAATATAGGCAAAATAAGGTGACCACCTTTGCACCCTGTCTTTAGATGGACAGGTGTTTCATTTCAGTTTTTTTCCTCCAATGTACGGTTGCAACTGCTGGTCTTTGGATTTCAGAGACATCTTCAGAGCATCAGCAAGTAAAACATTGTTCAACTTTTGCTCGGACACCAAAATCATTGTTTTTGTTCCATATCTTGCATATTTCACACCCCTTAACAGATTTGCATGTGACCTTTCATCATACACTGTGGAATCAAGATGTCGTCAAATGTGCCTGCATGAACAACCCACACTTCTGGGGGTCAAAAATTTCATAAAAACTGAAAGTATACACTCTAATTTGTGTTAGACAAACAAAAAGTATGGGGCTTCTTTTGTCAGACAAGTGAATCATTGTCAAAACAATCAAAAATTCAACTTGGATGGCGAGAGGCATTTTTGACAACATCTTGGGATTTGATTTCATCCCACGCTGATTCATACGGGTCACTCATAGTACCCGCTGACTCAATGTTACTGGAAAGAAGGGCTTCTCAGAGTGGGCCCGCAGTAGTCTTAGTCTCAGCGCCTCGAGGGATAGAAGCAGTTTCATTTTACAAAGAAACTCAAACTCATTTTGATAGCTCAGTGAGTCATGATAGAGTCTCAGCGTGAGTCACAGAAGTGCTTTGCAAGAGTATCAGATCATGTTTACACAACTTTTATATGCTGTATTTGAACCCCCCCCCCAAAAAACATCATGAAAAGTAAATATTTTTGAATGAATCGATATGTAAGTTGTTTCTTTTGAAGATACATTTCATATCATGTACGTTGCAATTCACATTAGTGACCTAATGTGAATTGTGAGCCTTAACATCTGAAATGCGGCGGGGGCTCACGCATCACAACAATACGGACAAGGCAGCTAAGTCTATCGGGCCTCCAAATTGCTCTGTGCTGACACAAGGAGCTTGAGGCAGGGTGATTTGTTGTTGATGCTGTGCTGTGACTTAAGAAAATGTCAATAAAATGATGACCGGCAACAAGGATTGTTGTGAAGCACTTTGTATGGCGAATTAGTGGTACAGCGCAATCACATTCAGGCGGAGCTTGGTTGTGGTTCATATTCGATCCAAGGCTGGATTTATACTGCAAGTCCAAGTGGGCGATTCCAATTTATTTTTTTATGTCCAACTTCTTACATTTACTGAACATTTGAAGTGAATTTGGCTGTCATGTTGACATGAAACAACCCGTATGAGCAGATGCCCCAATATGCATGAAAGTAGCAGCACAAGCCTGAACACCAGGCAATGTAAAAAATAATGCAAATATTAAAGATTACATACCGTTTAGTTTGACCGGGCTGAATCTTACCCCCATTGATTGAAATAAGGGGAAGTGAATTTGGCTGTCATGTTGACATGAAACAACCTGTATGAGCAGAAGCCCCAATGTGCATGAAAGTAGCACCACAAGCCTCAACACCAGGCAATGTAACACAGAAGCAAACTATAATGTATAAATAATGCAAATATTAAATATTACATACCCTTTAGTTTGACCGGGCTGAATCTTACACCCATTGATTGAAATAAGGGTAACCTCCACAAAGCTCCACCCCATTGACTGCCTTCTGCAATTTTTATCTTATAATTGCCCATTTTGAAACCATATGATGTTTTTCGCTGTAGCTTACAATTGCAGTGGGTTTTATTTTAATGCCTTTTTTTTTTGTTTGTGCAGACCCAGATGTTTATAATCACTGTGTATTTTGTTTCCTATTAGGCTCACATGCTTTGAGCATTTATTTCACTGCACTTGCTTTGCCTAATATCTGACATGTATTGGATTTTTAACCGCTTTTGGAAGAAGTCGGATTCTGATAAGAAGATAGCCTGTTACATGTGTATTTAGGCTGCCAAGATGCATATCTGAATTGCGCGACTTGAGAGTAAAAAAAAACAACAAAAAAACATCTGAATTGTGTAACTTCAACCATGCAGAGTAAATCCAGCCACAAGTAAAAAGCATGCTCTATGCCATAGAGGATGCCTTCTAATCTCAACCCCATAGAGTCTATGGGGTTGAGATTAGAAGGCCCATTTAACCATTGAAGAATATAATTTGTTTTCAAAAAGTCTTGAGTTGCTTTTCACAGTAACTTGCTGTCAGACAGCTACAGTGAATGATGGCAGACTGTTTTCCATTTCCGGAGTGGATGTCATTGCAGGGACACATATTGCCGCTCAATACATTTTTCACAATATTGGCAGAGGTGGGCGCTGAGCTTTTTGGACTGTACCGTTCCACCGTTTTTTAATGACGCCATTCCGAGTAAGAGTGTGACCGTTCCTTTGTATAACTTCATTGACTTTATGGAACAGTATGACACAATGTACTGTATTTCAAGCATGAGACCCATATATAGAAAAAAAAGAACCCCTGATGCCTGATGAAGCAAATATTTCACGACCTTTGAACTCCTCTGGTTCGTTGCTATCTGTATCTCAGCCCCCCAGAACCCTCTCCCCAAGGGAGAAAGCGAGAAGTGGGGGGGAGACAATATTCCAGTAAATCTGCTTGTCAGGCTCCTTCTTCATCCCAAAGCTCTCTTACTGTTTTCGACATACTCATTTTACTACAGACAAACACACCCGCGTATACACATGCACCCCCTCCCCCGCACAAACACACACACACACACACACACACACACACACACACACACACACACACACACACACACACACACACACACACACACTAAGGCTATCTGGTGTGTGGAATGTTTGCTCTGTTGGGGTCCAGTTACAAGGGGGTGGGGGGGTGGGGGGGTCCACTGGCCATCTATCTCATTTTGACATCAAACGTCACTAAAATGGAAAAGAACAGGTCATGAAACAGATGCATGAGGTCCTGTACGTTTAAGCAAAACATAGACATCATATAACACACCGTGATGCACTCTGAGTGATTTACAGTCGTCACACTGAAAGCTTTTCTCACTCGACTCCACATGTGCTGTTTATCTGAACAAAACGCTGTCAGGGTGAGTGGATGGAGCGATAATGATGGCAGAATGGCAGACAGAAAACAGACATGCAAGCAGCAGGGGCAAGGAGTTTATGCTGACCATTTGACTCAAATAAACTGACAAGGACTGTGGTTTAAATTCGCATCGGAAATTAATGTGGGCTTTTTCCTTAACAGTCATACGGACGTCACTTAAAATTGAATTCTTGAAAAATTACAGTTGAATAGAATGAAAAGTATTTCATTAAAGGTTTTTTTGTTCAACAACTCCTTAATAATTACAGTATGAGGTTGAATCTCAAACATGGGTATTAATAACCATAACACTAATTATAATATTAAAAATCAAAAAGAGGTGATAAACGTACCCGTCAAGCAGAAATGTCGCTAATTCTGCATTGCTTCTCATTCCCCCGAGCTGCCTAAGGCCCTCTTCTCTCTCTCTCTCTCTCTCTCTCTCTCTCTCTCTCTCTCTCTCTCTCTCTCTCCATATATATATATATATTCCAAAACGCTTTGTAGTTCTGAAGCCCAAGCTAACAGGTTAGCACCAGGGTGTGAGAGTGACCGGCATGGAAAATCATTGACGCATTGTTGGTTTTGTTCATTTATTTTACTGTACAATATGTCTAGTGTTAAATACTGTATTCACATATTTTCATGTATATTTTTAATCATACAGTATGTTTTTTTTTTTTCTACAGGTATAGCATCGGTAAAGAGCCCAAGACAATTAAGTTTCCCTCTTGTGGAACCATTAATCCTTTTGTTGCTGTTGTTTTCGTTTTTTAAAGGCCAACAAAACCACAGCAGGTGTATTTCCTCATGAAAGAGAATCAAATAAAGGAGATGGCACAAAAAGAATATGACAATTAGAAGAAAGCAGAGGCGCTGAGAGGATGAAAATCTTTCCAATAGTTTACATAGAACCTATAAAAGAGCACACCCCCCCACCACCCGCCAACCGCTCTCCCCTCCCCTAAATTTATGACCCTCCATGCTTCCTCACTCCTCCGCCATTCTCCTCCTCCTTTTTCCCACCCCTTCTGCTCCCTCCTCCAGACAAAAGCAGAGCTCAGCCCGAGCGTTTAAACAAACCAGAACCAGCAGCGCGCGCACACCCACACACACAGACACTCACACAATGCCATACAGCTGTGATGTGTAACACAGAATGAGGCTGAGGTAAGTTCACTGCAGCTGTTAGTGAGGATTACCTCATCGCTGTGTTTTATGGGAGTTATGAAACTTACGAAGACTTTATGTGACTCCTTAAGAACCACATGTTGTGTTCTCTTTGGTGTTGTTTGGGAATTGTGTTGTAAAAAGTGACGTGAACCTCTGAATGGAAGACCCTAATGCAAACCGCATGTACAGGAACCGTTTGCAACAAAGGTCAAGTTTTCTTTTTGTTTCTGTCTTGTATTCTTACAGAGGACAGATCTGGACCTGAAAAGCAGAGTTCTTTGGAGAAGAGCCGGCTCATGACAGCGCAGAGGGAGACATTAACCAGATCAGACTTTGGGCCCTCTCCCTCACCTTGCACCTTCTGCCCGTCAGTCCCCTCCCCTGCAGCCATTCCCTCAGAAAAACCAAGCTAGACAGTAACACTGAAAGTTCCTCTCCAGAAGCGACAGCTGACACATTGGAAACGACAACCTCGGCTGAGATGGGAGACTTGTGTCATCCTCGTGCCTCCAGCCCGGATGGGGAGACGGTGTGTGAGGCTCTGGCCCGTCACGAGTCCACTCTGAGAGAGGCCATCCGGGAGATCCACGTGGATGTCAGTGCCTTTAAGTTAGGCATGGAGCATCGCCTGGAAGACGCGGTCAGCATGAGCGGAACCCTTGGGCGAGCCATGACTCAGCTCCAGCAGGAGAACCGAGAGCTCCGCACTCAGCTGCAAGCTCTAAGCCGACAGGTGGAACTCCTCGGTGGAATGAGCGGTCAATACGGCAAGCACCACTGCAGTGACAACCAGGAGGGGACCTACGGGAAGGCTGAGTCTCCCTCTCAGAGTGTCATCCAGCCCTGCACTGCAGGGAGTCAGACACAGACCTGCAACGGCCATAGCGGTCACATCGACGCCGCAACCAACAATGCAACGCGCTCCTCGTCCCCCAGCTCCAGCAGTCCCCCGGTCACTTCACGAGTTTCCGCCATTGTGACAGGTCCTCTTTCGAGTAGCAGCCCGACCACCGGCCGCTTCTCCAGTCGAGCCACATTTGCAGTCTCCAGCAAAACCAATGTAAGTGAGCGACCATTCATATTTTCACCATTTTTATCTGGCAAACACTCCACACATTTTTGTCAAAACCACCAAGTGAGTTGCAATGAGCACACCAATAATTTGAGTGGTGTTATGGCAATATTTGGGCATATTTATACTATGCAGTTAATCAGTACATTTCAAAATCTAGTCCAATTTTCATGTCTTTTGTCCATATCTAACTTCAGAGGCTGCTAGTATGTCTAATTTAATTGGAAATTTTTTTTTTTTTTTTTTTGTAACTTGCATCTTTATTATTTTAACAACATACAGGACCATGCAAGTCTGAACATTTGAATACAAAGGGTTTCGTATATTTCTACCCATAGTTAGTTTCCACAACAACGTCCATGTATGACTGGGAAGATCCTTTAACATAGGAAACAACAAAATAATGTGCAAACATTTGCGACAGAAAAAAGAAAAAAAAAACATATAAAAAATACAATAATATATTGTGATCAACAGTAACAAGTGTTCCTTATTTTGGATTTATATCTGTAATCTACATTAACTTCACCTGATTTGTGGTGTCATTCTCTCATTCATTTGTTTTTTATATTCCTCCCATTTTTCCCATCTCGTTTTAAACTTCCCTACTTGGACCCTCAATATGTTTTTTCTTTTTTTTTTTTGAAGTAACAGCTACTCCACATTGTTCCATATCCATCTCCAGAGAGTATAGAGTGTTAGTGCCTGTGTGTGGGAACCACTGCTTCATTGCTCTTTGCCATATTTGGACTGATGAACAACAATCGGCTGAATGAGTTGTGTAATACGGATGACAATTTATCAAACAATGGCCCTTTTCTACTTTCATCCAGTAATTATAATGCAATTTTTCCAAACTGGGAAAGGGCTGCTTGTGGCGAAGGGGCAGATTGTGAGCGGAGCTGGTGCTGTTTGTGTCGTGGTTGCTTGGATGTGTCAGTGTGGTTGGGAAGCAGCACTCCACGACACTGTTACTATGTCATCAGACAATGCATACTCCTGAGAGGTATGGTGAGGATGGACGTGCGCTTTTTCAGCCTCGAGGCAAATATGTGATGCTAATGTAAAGGATCCTTGCTGTGATCCGTGAGGTTAGTAGTACACGTGACTCCTGTTTTTTTCATTCTTAAATACACGAGACGTCAGATTTCAATTCAGGAGCACTAAATTGTAGAATGTCTTTTGTGCCTGTCTGTTTCCTTGTCACGGTGCGTTTGTCTGCCTTTTTCCAAGCGGTTTTATCTTCACCTGATAAACAGCTTCCGTCTTAATCTCATGTTATCACGTTGCGCACGCACTCATTCACTAACAGGAAGCCGCATGTGTTTGCAGGTTTGCTTCTCCCCCCTCTGCTCGGTGACACACAAATGTCACATTTTTAAAAAAGGGTTTCTTTACTTTATTTTTTACCTTTGTGAATATGAACTTTTTCTCATTTGCCCCACAATTTAAAAAAAGTCAGTGTAAGTTTGACTACTTTTTCTTCCGACAAAAGTAACTGCACGCTCTTCTACATATTGCAGGTGTGCTTCATTTGTAGTGAAAGCAAATTAATCTTCGTCCTCCTTATTTTAATTAACACTTGGTAACTTCAGGTTGTTGTTTTTCTACCCCAGGTACAATATTTGTTTTGTATTTGTGTGGAGACTAAACACCTTGCATAGCTTGGCAAATGAACTAGGAAACTTACATAGAGAAGAGTATTGAGTTTCAGTTGGAATTTTGCACCCAAAGCCCCCCAATCCATCCAGAAATCTTGGGTTGTAAAATTGGGATGAGTGCAGTCCAAAGGACAAAAGATTTGCGGATAAGACATATAAAGGTAGTCGGCCTTTTCCAAAAAAGGAGAATGATGCTGTTAAATGAACTTGTTTGTAGAAGTCATGTGGCAGCCCGTGTTCCAGTGGTTAGCGCATGGACCTCACAGTGCAGAGGTACCGGGTTCAATTCCAGCGCCGGCCTCCCTGAGTGGAATTTGCATGTTCTCCCCTGCGTGGGTTTTCTCCGGGTACTCCGGTTTCCTCCCATATTCCAAAAACATGCATGGCAGGCTGATTGGACACTCAAAAATTGTCCTTCGGTGTGAGTGTGAGCGCGGATGGTTGTTTATCTCTGTGTGCCCTGCGATTGGCTGACAACCGGTTCAGGGTGTCCCCCGCCTACTGCTTGAAGACAGCTGGGATAGGCTCCAGCACCCCCCGCAATCTTGTGAGGATTAAGCCGATCGGAAATTGGATGGATGAATGAATGTAGAAACACCCTGCGAAAGGTGAAAAATGTGAGGTAGGAATTTCCCCAGCAGGAATTTTCGTGTATGTGTATGTGCGTGTCTTGTCCACGGAAACCAAGACAACGAGTATTAGAAAAAATGATGAGATTTATTTGAGAAAGAAAAAAAAACATGGGGAGAAACCGTTCACAGATCTGTCAAGGGAGCCTTCTTCCCCCTCCGCATTGTGCGCTCTCTTTTTATCTTGTTTTCTTCTCTTTGGGAGGGGTTAAGGTCATCACAATCAGCATTTTGAGCAGCTACACACAATTAGTGCATGAGCAGGCAACTTTGCTTATCTGCAAATAACTGGTCAGCATTCAATTGTACGAACAGTTACTTACATTTTCGCACAGTTATATGTCAAATTCCCATTCCATGGGTACCAGCATGTTAAAATATGTAAAGAGTATTTATAATTTACATATTTGACACAAAGATTACAACAGCCCACGTATTGACTTAACTCTTGTTTCGGTGGCGTAGAAGGCGGCACCCGCTTGACTCACACAGGCTATAGGTTCACTCAGTGACTCTTCTGCTGGAGGTGCTGACGGTCTAGATGAGTTTTTTAAATTGGAGAAAAACACGGTGATGGCTATGACATTCATCTTGTCATCTTATTAGTTGAGATGGGTTTAAAGGTTTTTATCAAGTTCAAGTCAACTTTATTGTCAAATTTGCTACATGTGCAACATACAGTACAGATGAAATTTCTTTCCTTAGGAGAGAGGAGCCGCTGCGGGTGCCCGCGCCGCCATCGAAAGAACAGTTAACATAAAATGACAATTTTTTTTTTTTTTTTGTGAAGACTGTCACTGTAGCATTCGTCTGAGCTGTCACTGCTTCATTGTGACGTGTCTCAAAAACAGCTGACCGGGTTGGGAAACCTTCAAAATAAAGCTCCCCGACCGGGTCAAGGCTTCGAACCAACCTGCCTCCGCCACCATTGAAGCAATATGTCTTTGTTGGACACAACAAAAGGAACGTTTATAATAAAATGTTGAATTTAGTATTGATAGATTCACTGCCAACGTAGGGTTGGCAAATGAGGTGGCAAGGGATTTGGTAAAAGGAGGTCACTGCCACCCCTTACCACCCTTAAAATCTGCCGATGCAATCCGCATACTGGTTTATTGCCTGGGATAAACTAAGGATGTTTATGAAGACAGGAGTTATAATTAGGGGCCAATATTTGGATCAATGGTCTTGTTTCACGATTCCCCTTGCCCTTAATGATCATCTCTTTGTATGGAGTACAACTGCTTTGCCATTGCATTCCTAGTACGTCTAGTGAAGTGTAACAGTTTCAGGTATACCTTCCAAGATATTGCAACAAGACTAAAACAATAAAAACAGACAACCTGGATACTTGAGGCACAACATTTCATTGTTGTCACGTGTCATGTTAACAAGGTGCACAAGCAAATGTCATTCATTTCGCCTCTTAAGGTGACTGTTGCCTCACTGTAGCCTTTTGGTGGCTACATCAGAGGAATGTTATCGGCTGTGAAATCACATGGCCGAAGCGAAACAAAACAAGGGCACCTCTGTTTCCGTGACTCTGCAGGAGATCCCCTGCTGTCGGTCAAAAGTTGCACCGGGAGTCTGCTGCCATACTGTCTTTGGAATGGTTCGTTTCATTGGGGTTTTTTTTTAACAAGATTGCCACTCTTGCGCTTCCTGTCCGGAAGATACCGACGTGGATGACGTACGTGCAGTTCACTTGGCTGTTCAGACAGGTCTGTTGGCTTTAAAACACTGACAGTTTTACGCACTGACTGCAGCATTCTTTATCATCAATCCAAGGTGAATGTCTTTGTGCCAAAGTGATGTGCACAGGCCTGTTTGTCTCCAGATACCACACAAAAAAAGGTGGAAAAATGAGAAATTCACAAAAAAATAACAAATACTGTATGCAAAAAAAAAAAATATGTTGTGGATATTTTGAAGAAGTCTTAAAATATCCAATAGCTAACCAAATAAAGAATGTTGTTTCTTTGACATGAGTGTACAGCGACATAAAAATGGAATCTATCCCTTTTGCGTGTTATTGAAATCTCTTTGGGTGTTTATTTCATTGAGACACGATCATTTTTATTTTTACTTTATTCTTACTTGACTATACAAAAAGGCTTAATTGACTGCTTCTGTCTACTTTGACACTGTAACAGTTTAATTAAGTGCAAAATTTAAATAAACGTATGAAACTGCTGTCAGGCTATTGAATAGACGGATCTGAAAACCTGGACTCAACCCACACTCACCCATTTTTAATATGCTTATATTTATATTTTATAGTTTATATTTATATTTATTTATATACTTTTTGTTCTTCTACTTTCTCCCTTTCATAATTTTGCTTAACTATTAGATCGTTAGTTAAACTGTATGTGAAATGCTTTTTTTCTCGAAAATGCTATGAATCCATTTCGATGTTTTTTTCCCCCCCAAATGATCTCAATTGATTTCAAGTTTACTATTCTTAAAATGATCCTGTGAATACAACTGATTGCCTCAATCTGAGATTGAAAGTGTTCAGCAGATGTTAATAGCATCTGTAGTGTCAACTCAACTCAACTGTATTTATAGAGCACTTTAAAACAGCCATCGCTATATACAAAGTGCTGTACATGGAGCAAATATCATACATACAACAATAAAACAACAAATTATGAATAAAGACAGTTGAAAGCACCAAACAGTAAGACAAGTCTGA